ACAAGCCGACAAAGAGATTACGATTCATATATAACAATGGTAAAAAAATAACTATTCATCGCCAATTTACTATCATATTTGTTGTGAGTTTATCATTATTTTTATCATCAATCTACATGTAAAATTTCTATTCCAAATATTCTTCCATGCTAAGACCTTATTATAAAATAATGGTGAAGGAAAATTTTTGAACAAGTAAAGCCCTTACACATAAATTTATATATAATTGACTTTATCTTTCCTAGATACTGTAGACACCCCATTTTTGACCGACCTTAAGACTCAGACGTCACCGATTGAGCGCTCGGTGATGTTGCATATTGTGTTCGTTCAGAAGTTTCAGAGTCTCGGCTGCGAGCCTTGCTTCCGGACTTCCGGACTCTTTTGTGCTTTGCCTCGGTTTGTGAACCAGGCTCTGTTTTCTCTTCTCGAAGGGAGGGAGAGTTCTCATAGATCATCTCTCAGTGGCCGTAGGCCATGTTTCGTGGTCGTAGGCCATTTTGCCCGTTTGGAGCCCGGTTTCCGGTTTTTCGGAGCCGTTGGCCGTGTGCCTCAGTTCGGGACTGCTTAACCACCTCCGTTTGCCTCAGTTTTTGGCATACATCTTATTTTCTCCCTTTTGAGGGACACTGTGGTCTGAGGGACTAACTTCGTGGTCGGACACCACTTCCGGTGCCTAACAGCCCACTTTCGGGGCCCCAAACTGCGTGTTTTGGCTCCTGAACCCTCATTTTGCATTTTTGGGCTTTGACCCGAACTTGAGATAGTCATATTTTGAGCTCCTTTTCATGTTTGATTGAGGACCTCTTGATGTTTGACATCTCCATCTATCACTTGCTTCTTTACCCCTCCATTTTTCCCTTTTCTTGCACGATAGTTTAGGCCTGGGTTAAAAAATTATTTCATGAACTTCTTGAGTTAAAACACTTTTAAATTGGACTTATCAATAAAAATCCATTTTTTTAAGGGTAGGTATCGGGGCAAAAATATACCAACCCGACCCAATATTAAGATTTGAACCAAAATATCCAGGCAAGGCAACGCATTAGGGTTCATTCCTTGCCCTCAGCCGCGGAAATTGAGGTGAGTCCTCCTACTCCCTACCCTATCTCATATGTTCTTTGAGTTTGAAGACTCTGTTCATCATCTCAGTACTGAACTTTATGTGTTGCAAAATCATTATCAAATTTTTCTATCACATTTAAGAGTTTCTCTTCTTCTCCTTTGTTTTTTTGTTTGTTTGTTTGTTTTTTTTGTTTTTTTTTTTTTTTTTTTTTTTTTTTTTTGAGGTACAATAGTTAGTGTTGGAAAAAAATATGATCTTGAGGCATATTTTCATGAAGTAAAACGGTGATCAGTATGAACCACCCAGCAAAATATTTAGGAATTCACCTTCTTAGAAGTAGGTTTACTAGATAAATTCCTTCTTTCTTTGTTTATATTAGTTTTTTTGGGGGATTTTTTTTTGGGGGAAAATATGATACTGAGGCATATTTTTCTTGAAGATATGACAATTATTTTATGAAATGGTGATCAGCATGAACAACCTAGCAAAAAAATTATTCAATTAACAATGGAAAACAAAAGGGGCTGTGATTGTGAGCATTAGTTTTTTTTTGGAATTTTTTGGGGAGAGAAATATGATCTTGAGGCATATTTTCATGAAAGCAGTTTAGAAGGCATGACAATTATTTTATAAAACGGTGATCAACATAAACCACCTAGCAATAAAATTATTCAATTCACTACGGAAAACAAAGGGTTGTGAAAGGGATTTATGTACGTAAACCAAATTTCTAAGAAAGGGGAAGTTCTAAAAATTTTGGGCAGTTGTTCACCTACCTATATGAAGCTGGGGATTTCCGGAAACTTCCTCCCTGATGCATGTTTGCCTATTCGGCGTCACACCTCACAGTTTGAGTGTTCAAATACCTTGAAGTTGGGTTTTCCAAAAAGAGGTGGGGAGGGGTATGTTTGGGTGGTGGAGTGATAGTGTGGGGAAGCATAGTAGGAAGGCATCGCTCTTGGCTCCACTATGCTTGATGTGGCTTATTTGGAGAAAGGGTGTGGAGGAATGTGTGTATAATGTGAAGAGCACATTTTTTGTTTATTTTGTATGGTTGGCTTTTCAAGAATGGCATACCTATATGGGATAATTTGGTTGATTTGTAAATTCATTAAGTTGTGTTTGGATGAAGGATTTGAGGGAGAAGTTGTGGAGTAAAAGAAAAAGGAAGGGAGAAGTGGGGAAAAAAATTTGACTTCTATTTCATTCAATTTCCTTCTTTCTCTTCACAAATCACTTCTCAAATCCTTGATTCAAACCAAACACAGACTTTGTCTTGGAAAGAGTCTTTCGATTTTGTTTAGGCGAATATACATGCCTTCTTTTTGGGCTGTATGAGGTTATCAAGGCTTAACCACCTCTCTTTTGTATAGGGTTTTCCCTTTCATTTTTGTTAATGAAATTCTGTTACTTATCCCCCAAAAAACAAGAAGAAGAAGAAAACGACTTTTAATGGGTTAATGTGTCATGACCATTGGACAATAAATTTGACCGTGCTTGAACTTTTTATTTCTTAAATTAATGGACCTTCAACCTCATCGAACCTCTTCAAAATCGTGTCACTAATCTGATTGTGTTTCTTTCATCTGATGTATGGTTTATATAGCAGGAAATTTACCACGGTCATCAGTAACTGACTACCGTGGGGCCATGAGCTACGGCTCCTTTAAAGATGTTATTTGATCTTCTATGACCAAATAAATTATCATAATTTTATTTATTAAAAAAAAACTAATGCTTAAATTTTTTGTTTAATTCTCTCATGTAATTTCATACCTCTTTCTACTCTCTTTTGAATTTCATATGGCCTTTGATTTAACTCGGTTCATGACATCTTTGACTTAGATCTAATATCTAACATAGATTTGGATGTTAATACAGTATTTCAAGTTCATCTTGCTTTTCTAGAGCTGCACTCAGGTGATATAGCACCATGCAAGGCAATGAAAGCACCACTTCTATGGAGATTGAAAAAGTTTCATCTGAACCAAGACCAGTATCTTTTCCGTCAAAGCTAGCCTTTGAAAGCTCATGAGATAAGTGAAGGTCAGGTTCAGTTTCGGAAAGTTTCTGTTCCGCCACATCGCTATACACCCCTCAAGAAAGCATGGATGGAAATGTATACTCCAATATACGAGCAAATGAAGATTGACATCCGTATGAATCTCAAGGCCCGAAAGGTTGAATTAAAGACCAGATCAGACACCCCCGATATCAGTAACCTCCAAAAGTGTGCAGATTTCGTTCATGCTTTCATGCTAGGGTTTGACGTGATAGATGCCATTGCCCTCTTGCGTATGGACGAGCTCTATGTCGAATCCTTTGAGATCAAGGATGTTAAAACCCTTCGAGGCGAGCACTTATCTCGTGCCATTGGTAGGTTGTCTGGTAAAGGAGGGAAAACAAAGTTTGCTATTGAGAACTCTACAAAGACGCGGATTGTGATTGCAGCGCCAAGATTCATATTTTAGGATCTTTTGCTAACATTAAAATTGCAAGGGATTCTCTCTGTAGCCTTATTTTAGGGTCCCCGGCTGGAAAGGTATATTCAAAACTTCGAGCAGTTTCTGCCAGACTGGCGGAAAGGTTTTGATATGCATATTTTTCCATTATTTGGGGCTCTGTCCGGAGAAAAAGTTTTGATCGTATGCTATAGAATTGAATGTTGTTGAGTACGATTCAACTTGATTTTAATTTTCTGCCACCTAATTGTATGCTATTGGATTTTGGCTTTGTAAACTTTGTCCGCTAAACCAAGCAATAGAATTCAATTGATTTTGCTTTGTTTGAAATTATTTTAAATTTGAGTAGTATGACTGGATATCATGACGTCCTGGTGATGACATTCATACGGGAGTTGTTAATTGCCCTAACATAACTTCATAGTTTTCTCCCGGGTGCTAAATTTGTTGATTTTACTTTGTTTGGCGTGAATTTTTTTGTTAAATGTACTCTTTTATAACTGCCGTTGGGTTTGCCTTAATGCAAATTTCTACTGTTAAAAAAAAGAAAAACTTCTTTGGACCCCTTAGTTAATTTCAAAAAAAGAAAAAGAAAAAAAAGGAGGCACTCCACTTGATACTAAAATTAGCCCTCCAACTCTCACAAACTCTAACCGACCTCCATCCATCACCACAACCTCTGGTTGCCACGTCCTAGCCCCTCCTCCCCACCCTCCTCCGTTCCCCCCAAAACCCTTTAAAACGGCCCCACCCCCTTTACACCACCCTTCTCTGCCACCCTACCCCAGCCTATTCGTCACTGCCTGTCTTCACCACCACGACCTCTGCAGGATACTTGAAATTGCGAGAGAGAGAGAGAGAGGGAGAATGTGGGGGAAGTAGGGGGACGTGGTGGTTGAGGTTGCCAGGGAGAGGTACTGGTTAGCAATTCTCATTATGCTACGTGGGAACAGATTATTCGTAGATCTGAGTTGTTGAAATTGTTTCTTATTGGTATGAATGTGAACCTTACCTTCTATTCAAGAACATAGGAAAGTTTTAATGCCTTCACATGTACCAAGACTGAAGGCATTCCTTCCCCTGCAATCTGTTTTTGGCTCTTTCTCCTTGGTTATTCTAGTGTATTTATTGAATTATCCACACTGGCTGTTAGTTTCAGCTGCATTATTCAAAATTGTTCTGTTTGGAGAAAACAGGGCAAACAATGATCAGGAAGCCACTCAACTGCCTCGTCTTATTTGCTTCACTTGCTGGCAAGTCTGCTTTATTCTCCATCTGCAGGAATCTATAACATCTGCCTTGAAAACATATGAGACGGCTACTTGAGTTGGAGCAAATCTCTTTGCGACCATTGTTTTCATAATGAAGGTTGCTGCAAAGATAATAAGCATCTAGGTTGTGGAAATGTACTTTCATAAACACAAAGGAAAGAAAAGAACAGAAAGAAAATCAGAGTGGAAACCCAAAAGAGCTCTCCAAAATCTTAAAACTAATTATTTCATTTAAATACAACATTCTGTAAACAGACACTATCAGCCCCCAATGAATGTTAGGGCATAAAAAATTTAAGTTACAGAAATCCCAATTTTTGGTGATAAATTTTTGTTATGGAAATCAATTTTGGACCCACAACATGTTGGAAACTCAGGAGACTAAAACCATCTTCAGCCCCCAAAAAGATACCCAGCTGCCTGGTCTTCATTACCATCAAAAAATTTTAGAGCTTGTATCACTGCCTCTCTTCCAAACCCTAGCTCAACAAGCTTCGCAACTTTGGCTTCAAATTCAGGCCCCTGCAGACAAAATAACCCTCAATTAAGACCTGATAGTGCTAATAAATCATGATTTCAATCAAACCCATATGCACCCTTTTTGGGGTGCATGGGTGCATATGGTAAGAATGAAGATTAATGTGCAGCAAATAATATATGACCAAAGAATGTAACTAATACTGAATTTTTGCAAGATATTTGCAGCACACTGAAATTATTAGTTGTAAATCACCTGTGACAAGTCAGGTGCTCTACCTGCAGTCCAAAACAAACAAAAAAATGGCACCATAAGTCAAATTCACTTGCGAGAGAGCAATAAAATTGTATAATAGAAGAACCCCAAAAAAAAAAAAAAAAAAAAAAAGGGAAAAAAAAAACAAGAGTCAAGATCAACTCTAGTTACTGAGGGTCAACATCAATATCTTGAAAGGTCCCCTTTCATCAAGGTATTACATGAGGACAGTATCCAACATTTTCACTTTTAGATTTGATTGCATCAGACCTTCACCCAAAAAGATAGCATGCACACTCTCTTTAGGTTAAAAGGATCAAAACTGTCCGTGTTTTAACAAACCAAAAGCTGGTCCCAATGATTTTTAAAATTTTGATGGAAATAAGAGGTAAAGGAGCCAGTTTTGCAGTTGTACTTCACCAAAGAGCTCATTTTGAGCTCAACAGGTATATGGTATTAGCAAATTGAAGCATTAGATTGCAAAAAGAAAGCATAATAATCCATGCTAAAGCATGCATGCCATAAGAGTTTGTATGACTTTGGAACTAACCAGAAGTTTGTATGTTGCTATTCTCTCTTGTTCCAGATATAACCTGAAGAATCACAGGAGAACAAAGCCAAAATTATATTAAGGCACAGGCCCAAAACTGACAGATCTTAAAACATACTAGATGGTAGGATGAATTCATGACCTCAACTACGAAAATATGCAGAAGGAAGAGATGCAAGGTGGGTACCATGATTGTAGGTGCCACAAAATCTTTGAAATTTTTTAAAAACACAAGTGACTCATCACTTTCTGTATGACCAAAGATAATCTCATGCCAGTCAACTACATCATTATCAGAGATGTCGAACAGAACAATCCTATATTCAACATTAAAAAAAGAAAAGAAAAAAACTACTCCCTTCAAAGCCCAAACTCTCGCACTTAATGCATGAGGCTTTCCGGTTTCTTAAAATTTTCATTTCCATAAATAATCAATGTTCTAGTGCAATTCAAATGGAAAAATAAAAGACTACATCAAATGAGATTGATAACTGTATTTATAAACAAGAAAAATAACTATACATACAACTGCAAAATTTTGCAATTCTTCTATTCAACTCTAGACCTATGAAGTCGTACAGCAAACATTTACCAGGTATGAATTTGAGCATTTAATAAATGGCATTTTTTCTAAAGAAAAAAGAATACAGCACATATGATAAACCATCATGAATAAACCATCATGAAATGAAATTGTCACAGTAAGATCTATTTAGTGAAAGAACATGGTCAAGATTTGATAGTATTCCTTACTTGGGTTCCCGAGCTAGAAGCTTGCTTTGAATACCTCTCATCGTCCAGATAACTAGATGGAATGTCTTTTTCTGTAATAAATTTGAACTGTAAGCTTTTTCCCAAAACAAGGTTAATCATAAGAGGATCCAAAATTTCATATTCATATGAAAGCAAATCAGGCATTCAATTTAAAAGAAGAAACTAGTAAAAGAGTGAGTAACTCCAAACTAGTAAAGCAAAGTGAGGAAAACACAAAACCAACCTTGCAAAAATGGTACTGAAACCTCTCCTCCACCTACTCTCAAGACATTCTCCTTCAAATCAATCATGCACTGCAACCAGTAGCTATTTGGATTAAAAAAATAATTGATTTAATCAGCTTAAAAGAAAGAGTATGTTACCTGGTGCTTACGAAGCATATCCAGCCCGAAAAGGAAATCCATATTGGGAGAATCCAGAACCAAGAAGGAACAAGGGTAAAATGCACTCCCAATCTAAACATGGTTTTTGGAACGGAATAAAAAAAAATGAAATGTTAGCATACAAGCTTACAATCTCACACACAAACGCGCGCACAAACATGCACACACACACACACCCCAAAAAACAAAACAAAAAAAGGAAGAAGAAGAAGATGATGCATAGATGTTTCATCTTTCATAGTTGAAAGTTTGTAAAGTGAAATGGCATGCATGTCATATATTCATCAACATATTTCAGACTACTAATATATAAGTGTAAGAGAGCAATAGAAAGATCTGTCTCCCAGACTCCCAGTAATTAAAAATGAAGGCAAGCACAATATTCTTCTGCATCTTGCTTAGTGATACACAAACAGAACAAAGATATGAATAAGCATGGAGTGCAGAGAAAAGAAAATTTTCAAACACCAGAGGTGAGATTATTGAATTACAAGAAGTCAATCTCCCATATCCACACCTCAATGTATTTTGCAAGTCAAAAGAATAGCTAAAAAAAAAATAAGCATGCAACACATCAGATTATCCCTATACACAAGCAGGCATCCGTGCATTCACACACACATACAAGTGCATTACCTTGATTGGAGCAACATGTATCCGACCTAGTATCTCTGTCTGACCAACCCCATGAGCAATGCCCTTGTAACGTTGATCTAGAAGTCTCAACAATCTGAAAGAGGACATTATCGGTGACAATGAACCTATAGTTCACGCAGATCTTAAACATAATTATTTTATAGATAATTAGATATTTTAAATATAATATCATGTTACGTTACTATTTTTTCTATTAAGAAAATAGAGGTGTTATAGAACAACCAATGCTAATAGGAAGCAAGATACAATTATTTACAAGCACAATAGCACTAACCCACAGCGCTCAGCACAGCTTTTAGATATGATTGTTGACTGAGCACCACTATCAACAAATGCCTGAAGGAAGTGAAGCAAAAAGTCCATAATCATTTAAAGCAAGCAACAGGATAGAGGATTATAAATTTGTAACATAAAAAGGTAACAAGTGACACTACTCAAGAGTGACCAACTAAAATTTCTAAACTGTGACCTTTGTGCAACAATAAGTCATTGGATTAAGCAAGAAAAACAGGATATAGAGCAGTTTTTTAACAAACATATTTAAGACAATGTAAGCATGTTCCATGAGAGAGAAGAATGTCTAGCAAGCAGTACAAGACACAAAGGGCTCTAACTGCAAGTGAGTTCAAAATGAGAGAGAGAATATAAAATGAAAGTAAAAATGTAAAAGCATGGAAGCAAAACTTGTCACTACCTTCAAAGGGACACCATTAACTTCCATGTCAACATACAACATGACCTGCAAAGTTGCATGTGAAATCAAAAAATTGTTTACCAAGAAATGATAAAAAGTAAAGTTTTACAAGTAGCAGGTATACATACCACCCTTGCAAAACCTTCAGGATTGTGTTCTAGTGCAGCTGCCCAATTCTCATCAATACCTTTCTGCAAACCATGTAGCAAAAAAGCAAAGAGCCAAACGAGTAGTTATTAGAAGAACAATTTGATTCTACAAGGAAATATATAGTGCAAGAAAGGTCAACCAAGCAATACAGTAGTAGTGGTAAAATATATAATAATAATAACAACCAACCTGGCGAATTGCAGCTTCAATTTTCTTTTGTGCTTCCACATCAAAGGGATCAGCATAGAGAAGTGCCTGTGATGCAGAATAAAGAGAGCATGAGTGAATCAGCTACACATATGGTCAGTTTAAATGGTTATAACTAACCTTTGTACCTAAGAAACATGGACAGTTCTAAGAAGTTGGTGTGTCTGTGTCAAACACCGACACTCATCGGACACTTCCCAACATGTGTCGGGAAGCTCCCAAGGAAATTCTATGTGATGAAGAGGTTTGAGTTACAGCAGCAGGTGGTTCAGTCACTCTACATTGATTTCTCTTTTATAAATAAATTACAAAGTAAATATACAGAAAATGTAACACTAAGAAAATGAGGGAGAAAAAAGAAAGAAAGTAAGAAAAGCTTATTTTCAGTTGTCATTGTGTCAAACACCGACACTCATCGCACACTTCCCAACATGTGTCGGGAAGCTCCCAAGGAAATTCTATCTGATGAAGAGGTTTGAGTCACAGCAGCAGGTGGTTCAGTCACTCTACATTGATTTCTCTTTTATAAATAAATTACAAAGTAAATATACAGAAAATGTAACACTAAGAAAATGAGGGAGAAAAAAGAAAGAAAGTAAGAAAAGCTTATTTTCAGTTGTCATGTCTGTAAGCATTACTATAACTTAGAAAATTTTAAGAGAACACTAACATGTCTCAAAAAATAATCAGGTTAACATCATGAGGATTGCATGGTCAACTAAAATTATGAACCTGGCCGTAAAAAAATTGACTTCTTTTATGTACGTGTATAGTGACCAGATTTAAAGAATCCTTCACACGAGGCATGCATATATGTGATGCATGTAAGAAGATATGCTAGGCACACCTCAGGCTAAAATTTGGTTCATAAGGCTTACATAATTGATTTTGGCACAAGGAATTAAATAAGCACATCCCGTCAACATGATTTTCCCTAGCACCTTTGGAAAATTTTTCTACTTTTATAAAATTATGACACCAAAAGTTGCAAAGAGTAAAGCAGAAACTAATTGATTCAATAAAACTTAAGGTAATATGGCAAATTCTATAAACACCAGGAATTGAGGAAGGAAAATCAGTAATACAAGGAACCTACTAGCTCCTCTTCTTTTTGACGTTGTAATTCAGATCTTTGGCGATGACGCTCCCGTAAAGCATCCTGCAGTCTATTGAGATCGTTTCCAAGAAGAACTTGAGCAAGTTCAGGATCAGCCTGTAGTTCAAAGAATAAAAATAACATTTGTAGAGTTAGCGGAACTCACTAGCTAGAGGTAAAAGAACAATTGAAGTCAATACGTATATAAAGCATTAATGGAACATTGGAACCCAAACACAGGATCTCAACTATCAATAAATATTAGATCCACTAGATATCAGTCAAAGCTATAGTTGCCAACTAATTTTTCTGACTGCCAACATTTTCACAAATGGAATGTACTATCTGGAATATACATATTTTACACATGTAAAGTTAGAAAATTGCTTCTTTTAATTTATTTATTTATTTTTATTTTTTTTAAAAAAAAAAACTCTACCTGAAACAGTTGTGCCATCATATTAGAATCTTGTCGGATATGCTGCTGGAAGGCTACAGGGTTTACAGCAGACCCATCTGGATTGAAGTCCAAGTCATTGATAGGAGCACTATCACAATGTTTATATGCATGTCAATTATCATAAAAACATGGCTTCAATTGAATCACAATTATAAAACAAAAACCACAATAAGATGCACAAAATCATAACAAACTAAAGAGGATAGTGACAGAAAGTACACAAACAGTTAAATGAGCATAAAGCATGTGAAAGAGAAATATAAGCATAATCTATTTTTCTTCCTCGGTGAAAATTGCTGGTAGGTATTATAAAAAATAGATAACCGCTCATTTTGTTTCTCACCAAATTTTACTATTTTAAGTGAGAAACTACATTGCAAAACAAGACAGTTCTCTTTCTCTTTGTTAAAATTGTAATATTATTGATTGATGTATTACAAGATTGTTGTGTATTGTATGTTTACAATGATCATATATATAGAAGAAAATGTGGTAGTAGGTGTAGGTGGTAGGTGGAGTGAAGTGGAGGTGGTAGGTGGAGTGGGTGGTAGTGGAGGTGGTAGGTGGAGTGGTGATTTATTATTTACAATTTACATTAACACTCTTCATTTCTTATCATTTTTCATCAAATCATAGACACATCCACACAACCCGTTAAACCCGTAAAGCTATGTTCTTTTACAATTCAAAGCTTGTCTCATAACTTGCACAATATACAAACCCATAAAAGAATGTAACAGAATTACCTAGAAGAAGAAGCATGTGAAACCATCATCACTAAATCTCCATCATTCACACCAAGACCACTCAATTTCTCAGCATTCCTCATCTCCTTTCCATTATAAAGCAGCTGTTGTTGCTGAATCGACACTTGAGTCTGCTCATAAACCAAACACCAAAATCTCAATCCTCTCATGCACACACACGCATATATGCATATGTAGAGCGAGAAATCGATCTTACCTCGACCTCAAGCAGAGCTTTCAAGTTCTCAACCTGTCAATGAGATCAAAATTCACATTCAAACAACTAATAATCTCAAAAAAACGAAGTTGAACTAGGGTTTTGGAGATTACAGATTCGTCACAATCAACTTCTAAGGTGATGATCTGTTTGTCACCAGCCATTACAGTGATCTTCATCTTCTTTTTTGATACGATTCGATGTTTTGAATTATTCTTGTAAACAATGTGTTAAGATGCGATTATATGAAATTTTTTTGCTTATAAAAAGAGGTCTCTTTTATATCTTCTTTGCTTTGCTTTGCTTAGTCCCAAAGTTTTCTTGGACTCTGTTTTGTTTTCATTAAAGAAGTCATTTTCAACTTCGGAGGAGTCGCGTCACGTTTCTTTCCAACCAGCTCGAAAACTTGTAACCGTTTTTTTTTCCTTTCTTTCTATTTTTGTTTTCAAAAAATTTGAAAATAACGAGAAAATCGGTTGGTTACTATTTTTGTTTTCAAAATAAAAGTTTTGTTCATTTTTACGTGGGGAAGGATTCCCTGCTGTCACTGTTTTGAATTGGACAAGACTGTTTCGGTTCATCAAATTCATTCATTTTGATAATTTAAATTTTTCATTTTGTCAAGTGTGTCATATATTTCATTCATAAAAAAAATTAAATCGGTCTAATAACTGTAATTAATTCAACTTATCGTATTTATTATAAAAAAATGTATGATTTATTTTTTTTGTCGTCTATTTTTTTTTGTGAAAATGCGATAAATTGAACTAATTATAGTTATCGGATCAACTTAATTTTTTGTGTAGAAGAAAGATATGAAATACTCGATAAAATGAACAGTTTAAATTATCAAAATGGGACCCACTCTCATCCAGCCCAAAACAATGATGGAAGGGGATCCTCCTCCTTTTATATATTGGGTAAATTACACTGACACCCCATGAGATTTCTGTTTAATACAGATCCCCTCACATTTGAAAAATTACATTTTCCTCCTTGAAGTTTGTAATCTTATTACAAATTACCTCCTAGATTACTGATGGCATACCCTAAAATTTTCTAAATGAACATCTTGCCCTTAATTTCTAAAAATTATTTCTACTCACTAAAGATAAAATTATGTAAAATGATAAATCTTTTAGACATTTATTTATTTATTATTTTTACCAAATTAATTTTTATTATGTGTTTGGATGATGATCGGGTGGTTGTTTTTATTTTTATTAATTAGTTTTTATTTTTCTAAAAATCAAATATGTCTGCAACTTTGATATCATTATTAAACTAATCCATTACATCAAAAAATTCAAAACTGAAAACATTTCATATATTAAGGGCTCGTTTGGGAAGGCAGGGTTTGGGCTTTTTTTGGCTAAAATAGCCACAAAAAAATTAAAATAGACTTTTTAGCTCAATAAGACAGAACATCACATCCAACCCATAATCATTACCTTATTTCTCTCATAAAAAAGCCAAAAGCCCTTTCCAAATACCCAGGCTAAAATAATAAAAAAGACAAAAAGCCAAGCCATTTCCCAAACAAACCCTAAATATATCAATTACACATTAAAAGTCTAACAATTATCCATTACATAATTATCATCCAAACACATAACAAAAATTAATTTGGTAAAAAAATAATAAATAAATGTCTACAAGATTTATCAATTTTACATAATTTTATCTTTGGTGAGTATAAAATATTTTTAAAAATTCAAAAATATTTTTTTTGATATTTATTTTTGTCAATTAGTTTATATTTTATCAAATTAGCGACTTTGCCCATAAAATTGAGCAATAGTATCTTCAATTATCCTTATTTGAAACAAGATTCAAAATTCAGGATAAAATGTGTCACAATTAAAAAGCCAGGAACCAAAGTGACACGAGCCCCAAACTATGGGGACTCGTGAATTTTTATGATATTTTTGTATAAATTTTTATATATTAATATAATTTTTCATCTTTAGTTCTGCCATTATATCTAAATTATATCAATTTAATTTAGATATATTTAAAAAGTATAAAATTTGTACAATTTTTTTTTAAAAAAATCATTGAATACAACAAAATAAGATAGTATATTATTATTTTTTTTTTTGTATTTGATGAATTTAAAAAAAAAATCAAAAAGTATTATACTTCTTAAGGGTTGGTTTGGGATGTTCTAAAAAAGTGCACTTTTTTGACTTATTGGCTTATATGGGTTGGGTTTGGGTTAGGTTTGATGTGATGTGTTAGAGAAGTGATGTGATTTAAATAAGATGATGTGACTTAAATAGGATAGTGACTTTTTGACTTTTTGTATTATTTAGTGTACCCCAAACTAAGCCTAAGGCCTAGTTTGGGAAGACTAAATAAGTGCACTTTTTGACTTTTTTTATATTATGTGTAGAAAAAGTAGAGAGGAGATGTTGATTGATGTGACTCAAAAAAGATAAAAAGATGAAATAAGTGCACTTTTTTGGCAGTAGCCAAACTAGGCCTAAGTATGTCTAGAGTAGGTATATCTAAAAAATAAAATTTAAAATTACTTAAAACAAAAAAAAATCAATTTTTTTTGAGTGAGTTAAACCAAAGAAGGTTATTGTTATTTCCATTAAAATGACATGAGCAAAATATATCAGTATTATTTTATTATTGTAAATATGTCATTTTAATCTGACAGAAAAGTAAGTGTTATTTTTCAAATGTGAGGGAGCTCTGTATTAAACAGAAACTTCAAGGGGTCTCGGTGCAATTTGCCTTTTTTATGTTTTACCAACAAAGAAACCATGGCGGTGTTTGGCAACTTAGTTTTTGGGTTTTTATTTTTTATTTTTTTCACTACAAGATAAATGTTTTACAGAACAAAAAAAAAACAAATACCAACAAAATATCACATTAAATCCCATAATCATTTCACTTTTTCTCTCACAAACATCACATCCAATCATATAAAAAATTTCTCCAATAATATCCTACAATTAAAAAAACCTACACAAAAAACTCACCTCCCAAACATCCACCATGTTTCCAAATAGATTGGATAAGTTTTTCTTTTTTTTTTGAACAATGGCCGAAGCCAAAGCACAGAAGGCAAAAAACTACACTCGGACATGCCACGAGGAACCAGTCCACCGTAAGTCAAACTCCAAGGCTGCAGGCTGCAGCCACAGCAGGAGGCTCAACAACAATCACCTCATTCAACACATTCATTCCAAGAGCTTTCTTTGCAAAAAGTTCAACACACCCATTGGCCTCTCGCCAAATTTCCTGGATATCCCATTCCCAATCTGGTTCCAACAACTCCCAAATTTCCCGACAAAGATGTTGGACAACCTTCACGGTATTCAAATAGATTAAATTCTGTTATGTATTAAACAATAATAAGAATATAAAGAAATAAAAGAAATGAGAAAATTTGTTTGATTACAAAAATCAAACTAAAAATAAATAAATAAAAACATATTTTATTTTGTTACAAAACAAAATTAAAATCTGATTTAATAAACAAATAAAACAGAATAATAAATTAAACAGCTTACTTGATTAATTTCTTTTAATAAATATCTGATCAAGTTCAGTGTTTGACACTGTGTCCTTAGACAGATTCGTCCTCTCCACGGTGCTTTCAGAATATGGACGTCTATCTATCAGGATGAAATGACCAACTACAAACAATAGCAGCACTACAAATTGTTTGCCTAACGAACACACTAAGTGTTTATACTCTTTCTGACAATAAAATAATGCAGCAAAATGAAGAGAATGTTTACAGAATTATGAATAACGAAAATTAGAGTTACAAAATCCAAATGAGGGCTGTCCTATTTATAGATGGATTGGTGGCTGCAGGTTTTGAATTAAACAAGTGCAAACCTGTTTGGTTTTGAATTTAAACAGATTTGAATCTGTTGGGTTCAAAAATTCAAATAGATAAAAAACGGGTAGGGCCCTGTTTGGGTGTACAGTAAAACCGGACTAGTTTATTTTTCGGAATTAATTTGAATTCTGGATTTTATTTTCCAAAAAATAAAATTCAATTCAAAAGTTTTTTTTTTTTTGATCCAAAAAGAAAGGTATTGGGCTAGACAAACCCAACCCCACACCACGCACCTGCACCCAAGCCCAACCGAACGGTGGTGCACGTGGTGATTTTTGGGTCTAATGGATTTAGCCCATTTTGCCCATAACCTCCCTCTCTAAAACACTTGGGTACCCCTTGGGGCACACCCCAAATTCCAATCTCATGCCTTATAAACCCATTCAAAACTTTTCACAAAATCAATGTGGGACAGGCCTTATTCAAACCTTTAAGGATTTTTCACAAAAACTCCATTTCCATTGAGCATACTTTGGCTTGAATTTATCATTCACTCGGTAATGGTTTTGAGCAACCAAATATACCATGTGAATCACAACGCAACATAGAACGCGTTACCACTTTGACCCGTGACAATCAATGCACGGGGCCCACCCAAAATATAGACCAAACTTTAAAAAAAAAATTAATTTTACCCAAATTTTTATAACCATTTCTAACAAAAGATTGAATTGAGAATGCATATTCCAAATACCCCACAATTCGGCAACAAGAATAGAAGAAATTTCCACCTTATGCTTGAATCACTGATCCATGTTCCTTGGGCCGACCGAATTAGACCACCACACACTGCATGACCACTCCTCTTTGTTGTAGCACCATCCACATTTACCTTGACCCACCCAGCCGGAGGCCGTTGCCATGCAATAGAAATACCGGTCATACTCCAACGACTCCCAAATTTCCTGGCAGAGATTGAAATAGATTGGATAAGTTACAAAAAGTGATTGAATTTAATAAATTTATTATATTCATTTGTAGAAATTAGCCTCAATTACTTCTCTTTTCACTGCACCTATTCAAAAATTCTCCACATTTTTTGCTTCAAAATATATCACCATTTTTGACCTCACCACATTATGTCTATCCTTATCAATCTCTTTAATATGCTACCACTCTCCCATTGTATCACCCTCTTATATCTATCATTTGAGGATAAATTATTTTAATAATTTTTTTATTTTTTATAAAAATATGTTTACAAAAATAGAGAAAATGATGTGATAACTTATAATATTAGTCCTACCTTATATGCCTTTTTCTTTTCCATTGTTCTTTGCAGTTTTCCATTACTAATTATAGAGTTTTGAAATTGAGGATGTCAATAATAGAGAGGATTTCAAAAGTGAAATGAAAATACTATAAACGAGTGAAAAATATGGTAGTAATAGTGGTGCGAAAATGAAGGAGTTGGGCTAGAGCAGTTGCAAGGTGGTAGTGGAAAGGGTTAGAGCAGGACGGTAAAAAAAGAACGAATAATAGTGGTATGTAGTAGGATCATAAAAAGAGTCATGCTAGAGGCTTCAAATGATTTATTAAATTTCTTACCTAATCTCTTACATAGATGTGGGACTCACACACATGTGGGTTTGTGTGGGTCCCACACTTATGTGAAAAGTTTGATAAAAAAAATTTAATAAATTATTTAAGGCTTATAACATTTTTTTCATAAAAAAAGAATGACAATTACAATTAAGTAAATAAGTGATAATGATTATGAATTATGAGTAGTGAAGTAAATAAGTGATAATGATTATGAATTATGAGTAGTGAAGTAAATAAGTGATAATGATTATGAATTATGAGTAGTGAAGTAAATAAGTGATAATGATTATGAATTATGAGTAGTGAAGTAAATAAGTGATAATGATTATGAATTATGAGTAGTGAAGTAAATAAGTGATAATGATTATGAATTATGAGTAGTGAAGTAAATAAGTGATAATGATTATGAATTATGAGTAGTGAAGTAAATAAGTGATAATGATTATGAATTATGAGTAGTGACGAAATTAGTATAGGGTGACACGACTTTACTCCCACTCCACATTTGTATAACCTGTACTCTAAGGATCTATTTGGTAACGTTTACGTTTTTAGTTTATATTTATAAAAATTTTATAAATTAATTTTTGTTTATTTTTTGTTTATTTTTAGAAAAACATAAACTACAAACGCGTTTGGTAATTGACAAAACATTTAAAAAAATTTAAAAATACAAAAAAGAATGAGAAATGAACAAAGAAACCATGGCCGTGTTTGGCAACTTAGGGTATGTTTGGTTTGTATTTGGAAGATGAGTTTTAGAAAAAAATTTCTAAAAAATTGTTTGGTTTGAGTTTTTCTCAAAAAATTTCCAAAATCACTTTCTCTCTCTTACACATCAATCGATCACTTTTTCTCTCTCCTCTCTCCTTCTCAATCACTTTTTCTCACACACACATCTACTTAAATTCTCCCAAAATATCAAATCATCCCAAACTCCCAAAAAAATAACTCTCCCAAAATATACAACCAAACAAACCAAAAAAATTTTGGGAGAAATTTCTAAACTCTCTCTCCCAAAATTTTTTTCAAAAACAATTCTCCCAAAAACAAACCAAACAAGCCCTTAGTTTTTGATTTTTTTTTGATTTTTTTCACTACAAGACAAATGTTTTACAGAACAACAAAAAAAAACAAATACAAACAAAATATCACATTAAACCCCATAATCATTTCACTTTTTCTCTCACAAACATCACATCTAACCACAAAAAAAATTTTCTTCAATAATATCCTACAACTAAAAACAACCTAAAAAAACTACACAAAAAACTCACTTCCCAAACATCCACCATGTTTCCAAATAGATTGGATAAGTTTTTTTTTTTTGTTTTGAACAGTGGCCGAAGCCAAAGCACAAAAGGCAAAAAACTACACTCGGACATGCCAGGAGGAACCAGTCCCCCGTAAGTCAAACTCCAAGGCTGCAGCCAGAGCAGGAGGCTCAACAACAATCACCTCATTCAACACATTCATTCCAAGAGCTTTCTTTGCAAAAAGTTCAACACACCCATTGGCCTCTCGCCAAATTTGCTGGATATCCCATTCCCAATCTCGTTCCAACAACTCCCAAATTTCCCGACAAAGATTGAATTGAGAATGCATATTCCAAATACCCCACAATTCGGCAACAAGAATAGAAGAAATTTCCACCTTATGCTTGAATCACTACTCCATGTTCCTTGGGCCGACAGAATTAGACCACCATACACTGCATGACCACTCCTCTTTGTTGTAGCACCATCCACATTTACCTTGACCCACCTAGCCGGAGGCCGTTGCCATGCAATAGAAATACTGGTCATACTCCAAGGACTCCCAAATTTCCTGGCAGAGAATGAAATAGATTGGATAAGTTACAAAAAGTGATTGAATTTAATAAATTTATTATATTCATTTGTCGAAATTAGCCTCAATTACTTCTCTTCTCACTGCACCTATTCAAAAATCTCCACATTTTTTGTTTCAAAATATATCTCCACTTTTTACCTCACCACATTATCTCTATCCTTATCAATCTCTTTTATATGCTACCACTCTCCCATTGTATCACCCTCTTATATTTATCATTTGAGAATAAATTATTTTAATAATTTTTTTATTTTTTATAAAAATATGTACAAAAAAATAAAGAGAAAGATGTGATAACTTATAATATTAGTCCTACTTTATATGCCTTTTTCTTTTCCATTGTTCTTTGCAGTTTCCCATTACTAATTATAGAGTTTTGAAATTGAAGATGTCAATAATAGATAGGATTTCAAAAGTGAAATGAAAATACTATAAACGAGTGAAAAATATGGTAGTCATAGTGGTGCGAAAACGAAGGAGTTGGGCTAGAGCAGTTGCAAGGTGGTAGTGGAAAGGGTTAGAGCAGGACCGTAAAAAAGGAACGAATAATAGTGGTATGTAGTAAGACCATAAAAAGAGTTATGCTAGAAATCCCAAATGATTTATTAAGGGTTAGTTTGGGATGATCTAAATAAGTGCACTTTTTGACTTTTTATGAAATATGAGTTGGGTATAGGTTGGGTTTGAAGTGATGTGTTAGAGAAGTGATGTGACTTAAATAAGATGATGTGACTTAAATAGGATAGTGACTTTTTAACTTTTTGAATTTTTTTAGAGATGCCAAACTAGTCCTAAATTTCCTACTAAACCTCTTACATAGATGTGGGACCCACACACATGTGGGTTTGTGTGGATCCCACACTCATGTGAAAAGTTTGATAAAAAAATTTAGTAAATCATTTAGGGCATGTTTAATTGGATGGATTAGAGTATGGGATTGAGATTATTAATTCGTGCGTCCAATTATCTTATGTTTGTTTTAACATTTTGGTTTAGGATTATTAATTCAACGGATAATTAATCCAACAAATTTGTAGGATTATTAGTAATGGGGTAGGGGTGAGATTATTAATCTAATGTATATTAATCTAATTGGATAGTGAATACCACACTAATTTAATAAGATTATTAATATTTGTAAATCAAACATGACTTTTAGGTGTATAACATTTTTTTCATAAAAAATGAATGACAATTACAATTAAGTAAATAAGTGATTGTGATTATGAATTATGAGTCGTGACGAAATGAGTATAGGGTGACACGACTTTACTCCCGCTCCACATTTGTATAACCCTTACGCTAAAATGTTTCATATTTGAACACCTAAATACAATTACAATTGTGACAAGTTTTAAAACTGTACTAGCAATTCACAATCATTAAACAGAGATTAACGGATGTTGTTTCATCCGTTCAGTGTAGAATAATAAAATATATCAATTAATTTGTTTTATTTAAAAGCATAGTTGATCAATTTCAGTGTAGAAGAAAATAATAATATTATTTTTATTTATATAAAAAACATAGTTGACTCTGGTTTATTTAAGATAATTTACAAATGTATGATAAATTTATACTTAAATTATTAAAATTGATAAAAATTTATCAATAATTTAAAAATATTTTTAAAAATATGCTAATTTGCAATTCTCTCTCTCTCTCTTAATGCTTTGTGAAAAAAAAGCAAAATAAAATAAAAAGAGTAAATTACAAATAAACTAACTGAGATTTGTTTAAAAAATGAATTGTTCTCTGTAATTTTAAAAACTACAAATATCATATTGTCAAAATTTTTAGGGCAAATTACAAACACCCCCTCGAGCTTTGGTGAAAATACAGATTCTCCCTTGAAATTTGAAAAATTACAAATTGCCCCCCGAAGGTCAAATTTGTATAACAAATTATGGGAGAATCTGTATGAAAATAAAAATCTCAGGAGGCAATTTGTTATGAAAATATAAATCTCAGGGAGCGGAATGTAATTTCTCAAACCTCAGAGGGAATCTGTATTTTTACCAAACCTCGAGGGAGGTGTTTGTAATTTGCCCAAATTTTTATTTAACAGAAGTAATAGAAAAAATGAAATTTGTAACTACAATCTTCTATATAATAATAATATTATCTAAATTATTAATAGAAAAATATATTCTGCCATCATTATTTTATTTGATAATTTATTAATAAAACAAGTTATTTGTTATGAAATTATAAACTTAAAAGGATCAGATATAATTTTTAAAATTATAATGAACAACATATATTTGAAAAATTTTATAATGCATACTCTTTATCATATGCATCTTTAGTTAAGTTATTTTTTTTAATTATAACATTATTTTGATATTTTAATTATGACTTTTTTTATGTTTGATTATAATTTTTTTATAATTTATTTTTATTTATGACTAAAATATATAAAATTATGTCAATTTTTATTTTTTATTTTTTATTTATAATTATAAGATATATATAGTAAACATTTTTTAACAAATATCATGCATTTGTAATTTACCAAAAAAAACTCCAAAGAGCTAACAGTCACCAGGCCCGTCAAATATGTATAGACCGCGAGGGCCTCTGTACCCAATTGGCGCCCAGAAAGCCACGCACAGAATCAGAGAGAGGGGTAGAGAGAGACCTTCCTTTGCCTAACCAACCCTCCATCATCTTCAACCTTTGTTCTTTCCCCCAATAACCTCCCTTTGATTCACATCCACTCTCTAGATCAACTCTCGAAACTGGTTTTGTTTTGCCTCATTATGTATTGCCCTAGAACTCACTTTTTCCTCACTCCTCTTCGCTAATTCTTCAGATCATCTCGACATTTGGGTCTTTTGGTTCGATTGATTCCAACTTTAATCGCATATAAATGGCCAGTGGGAAGGTCATTAAGCGTGCCAAGTACAAGTCTTCAGTCAAGGACCCTGGTGTTCCTGGCATCCTAGAGATGGTGATTCTTTATAGCCTATTGTTTGTGTGTGTGTATATATGTGTGTGTGTGTGTGTATGTATACTGTGCATTTACATTTGTATGTATGATCATTTGACAATGACATTGTTGGGAAAAGTGGGGTAATGTTCACACCCTTACTCAAATCTAGAACCAAAGCTTAAATTTGAGTAAAAAGACCATGAAATCTCATCCACTCATTTACTAAAATCTGGAACAAGTTGAGAGTTTTACTCGAATTTTTACTCAGTTCAAGGGAGACCCATTTCCCTTATTCAATTTCTATCCAATCCAAGCTTAACATTTGGTCTCCTTTAATCCAAACTTAATTTTTAGTAAAAGACCATTGAAATCTCTCTCCACTCTTTTTTGTCAAATTTATACTTAATGGAGTTTTACTCAAATCAAGTGGAACCCATTTTTAATCAAATTTCTATTCAATCGAAACTTGACATTTGGGAATTGTTATCCAAACTTTCGACTGATCTCCTATACTTTTACCCATAACTTCCATTTAAACTTCACACTTGTCAACTTTACTAAAATTTGAGTTTATCTATTGGATTGCTTCATATAGCTTTTTGCTAAAACTTCTACTCGATGTAGTTGGAACTGAAATAAATAACCCCTTTTTTTGTGGTGTTTAAGGCTGCAAACATTGTATTGCAAATGATTTAGTCGATGTTTGTATATATGTGATGTATTGGTGCTTTTTGTCATGCATTTTAACTGTTGTAATTTCATGCAGATGGAGGATAGGTTCATCTTCACGCCTAACAACCCAAAATTGTCTTCAAGTCTTAGCGTACAGTTTAAATTGATTAAAGGTACTTCTTGTGCACATGTATGATTTTGTTATTCAGGAGTGTCACGCTTCTTTCACTACAATTGATAATTTTGGCAACTTATATATATATATATTTTTTCAAAGTAATTAACCAAACCGCAGGCCATTTAAATATATAATCATAAATAGTTTGTCATTTATTATTATTATTTTTTAAATGATATCCTATCTTTCTAAATTTTAAGTGCTCATGTGGTGAACTAAAGTTGTTAATATGCGTACATTGATATTTGTCATGTCTTATCAGGGCACAAGTTCACCAAGGAGGGATCACATAAGCATGCCCTGCTTAATCTTACACAAGATCAGGTTGCTTTTGTCACTAATATGTCAGTTCTTCAAATTTCATTGCTGTTATGTTGGCTCATTGCCCTGTAGTGTACTAATCATGATTTTTTAATTGTTTTTTCTTACATATTTATTGAACATGAAGATACTATTGCCCCATTTATCATGAACGAAACATGGAAGTGACGACTCTGTGTTTTTACAGGGTGGGAGTTACATTTTTGAGTTTGAAAACTTTTCTGATCGTGATGTTTGCAGAGAATTTGTAGGTAGGTCTCAGTTTCTACCACAGTACTGATTCTCAAGATTTTTAGCTCCAAATGAGACTGTTTTTCAATTTGCTTGAAAGTTTAAATTCTGTGAGTCATCAATTTGTGCAGATTGTTTGTCTGTTGTGTTCATGCTCAAGCATCATTATAATTATCAAATATTTTTTTTTGAGGAAACTGGGGCTTATTTTTTCCTCATAATTCTTCATGCTAATCACTTGTCGCATATATTTTATTATGGTGATCAAAAGCTTCTATTTATGTACTATTTATATGAATAAATTGCTGAACTCAAGCCACAATCTAGATGATAAAGAGTAGTATATTTTCCCTTTGTTTAGTGGAGGAAGAAAGATGGCTGCAAGCCTCACTAATTATATAGATCCAGAGCAACTGCCTTTTTCTTTTTTTGGTTATTGATACTTTTATGTGGACCTGCCTTACTGAGAGTGAATTTGTTTAGTTGTAAACCTCAAGGTCCCTGTAGAAAGCAGGCATTAGTTAGAAAGTCTTCTATCCTTCATCACATGATAGATGTTACCCATTTGTGTTGGCATTTGAAGAATAGCATATTATATTTGCTGAATGGTACTTCCTAAGAGAAAATGTGGTTCATGAGGTGGGTTTTGAAAGATTTATTTTTAGTCAAAGTGTGCAAATAGCCTCCACAGTTCTTTAGTTAAAGATAACTGAACAAGAATCTTTTCGAAGCATATTTAAATCAGATTAATTCCTAATTAATTAAGCAATAAAATCATACAAATTAAATATAAAACAATCATAGGAGAAGCACAAATTTTAACACGGGAAGCTCAAACTCGAGAAAAACCATGACACGACGCATTCACTAATATCCAAAATACACCTACCCACTCGACACTTGAGCAATTCTTTAGTTCTGATCTTCTCCGTGATTGTCCAATCTCACATGTACCCCTAATATTTGTTCGAATGTTGAACCTCACATATGAGTATGCAAGGTAGTGTTTCTGTAATTTTTAATTTTAGCATAGTTGAGTCTTGAGCATGTTATGTGTAGTGAAGCTTTGATATGGTGGAATCAAGTTATGCGGTGATTAGACATACAAACTCTACTCTTTGTGAAGGTAAAAATCATGCATTGAATTTACCATCACCTACCACCACTACCACCTCACCTACTCCACTAAACCTAACCCACTACACCACTACCACCTCCACTTCACCTACTCACTCTCCACCTCCTCCTCACCTACTCCTCACCTACTACACTCACCCTCTCCTATATAATGAGCCACTCACCATTTGTAATATATACAACAAGACATCAATCAATAATAAGATCATCAGATACATTTATTCTCTCTGTATTTTTCTCTTTATACATTGATTTTTTACATGGTATCAGAGCGGGTTTAAAACCTAATATTTTTGCTTCCCCGGCGGGCGGCAACCTCACCTTAGCCGTCCGCCGGACCTCAACCTAGTCCGCTAGAATTTTCTACACATACCTTCGCTCCGCTGCCACAAATTCCATCCGCTACCACAAATTCCAATATCTGCTACAAGCATCATTGCAGAAATGGTTGCAGTTCTTAGTGATCAGATTGTATGCATTCCCTTTGTACACTTTTGATAGTTCTTCCATCACTCCCCTCACCTCTGCCAGACCCATCTCTGTCCATCCAATCAAGATCGCCTTCCTAAAAGTAAACCCATCACACTGTTTTGGTTCTCCTTCAAAAATCCCTGTCGTCGGATGATGTCCAGCCGCCAGAACACTGTTGACAGAGAGAGAGCGAAGCGGAGGGATGTTGGGGAAGAGGCTAATCTCCTTCCTGAAGAGAACTCCATCAAGCAGCAACAGCAGCAGCTCGGTGAAGTCGGAACCGAAGACCAAATCATGGGGTCGCAAGGCGGTTTCCGGCGCCTTCATTTGCCTCACCAGCGGTGTTGCTTTGAGTGCCCTTGATGACCTTATCATTTATCATGGCTGTAGCAGCAAGGCCATGGAGAGAGCTAGTAAAAACCAGGCAATTATAGATGCCATTGGGGAGCCTATTGTAAGAGGTCCTTGGTACAATGCATCACTTGCAGTTGCTCACAAGAGACATTCTGTATCTTGCTCATTTCCCGTTTCTGGACCCCAAGGTTCTGGAATCTTTCAGTTGAAGGCGGTTCGTAATGGAGATGACAGCTGGTTTTCATTTTTACGGTCACGTGACTAGGAAATCCTTATTATGGAAGCTCTCCTCCATGTTCCCTCAAATGAAGAGAAGCAGCAAACATTCCGGATTAGTGTTTCAGACTTCCCTCCTCCAGTTTGCAAGCCATGTACTGATTGCAGCTCTCCCGAATCAGCAGTCACCAGCAGAGAAGAAATGAAAAGTTGAACTAGTTGTTATATGAGAATGTTACTCATTTTGCCCATGCTGAGAAAATGAAGGGCCAAGGTATTGGAAGAAATATGCAAGATGATACCAGAGAAAAGGTTAACCAGATTTGAGATAAGTTTGAATATGACAGAGCATGCTCGGACAGCTTTTGGGAACATTGGAGAGAAAAATATATTATATAACCTTTTCTATTCTAAAATATCCTCCACTCAAAACCATCTTCATATTCTCCACCGCCCAAACCCTCTTTATCTTATATATATATATTTCTTTCCACCGCCCCACTTTTTAAACATATTATTATTATTATTATTATTATTATTATTATTATTATTATTATTATTATGGTGTGAAACATATTATTATTATTTCTTTCTTTTGTTTTTTATTTTTCTTTCATTTTATTTTTTAATCCTTTTTTTTTTTTTCTTATTTCTGCTCTGTAAAAAAAAAAAATAATAATTAAAAAAAAATTAAAAAAAATAAATTGATTAAAGGTACTTCTTGTGCACATGTATGATTTTGTTATTCAGGAGTGTCACGCTTCTTTCACTACAATTGATAATTTTGGCAACTTATATATATATATATTTTTTCAAAGTAATTAACCAAACCGCAGGCCATTTAAATATATAATCATAAATAGTTTGTCATTTATTATTATTATTTTTTAAATGATATCCTATCTTTCTAAATTTTAAGTGCTCATGTGGTGAACTAAAGTTGTTAATATGCCTACATTGATATTTGTCATGTCTTATCAGGGCACAAGTTCACCAAGGAGGGATCACATAAGCATGCCCTGCTTAATCTTACCCAAGATCAGGTTGCTTTTGTCACTAATATGTCAGTTCTTCAAATTTCATTGCTGTTATGTTGGCTCATTGCCCTGTAGTGTACTAATCATGATTTTTTAATTGTTTTTTCTTACATATTTATTGAACATGAAGATACTATTGCCCCATTTATCATGAACGAAACATGGAAGTGACGACTCTGTGTTTTTACAGGGTGGGAGTTACATTTTTGAGTTTGAAAACTTTTCTGATCGTGATGTTTGCAGAGAATTTGTAGGTAGGTCTCAGTTTCTACCACAGTACTGATTCTCAAGATTTTTAGCTCCAAATGAGACTGTTTTTCAATTTGCTTGAAAGTTTAAATTCTGTGAGTCATCAATTTGTGCAGATTGTTTGTCTGTTGTGTTCATGCTCAAGCATCATTATAATTATCAAATATTTTTTTTTGAGGAAACTGGGGCTTATTTTTTCCTCATAATTCTTCATGCTAATCACTTGTCGCATATATTTTATTATGGTGATCAAAAGCTTCTATTTATGTACTATTTATATGAATAAATTGCTGAACTCAAGCCACAATCTAGATGATAAAGAGTAGTATATTTTCCCTTTGTTTAGTGGAGGAAGAAAGATGGCTGCAAGCCTCACTAATTATATAGATCCAGAGCAACTGCCTTTTTCTTTTTTTGGTTATTGATACTTTTATGTGGACCTGCCTTACTGAGAGTGAATTTGTTTAGTTGTAAACCTCAAGGTCCCTGTAGAAAGCAGGCATTAGTTAGAAAGTCTTCTATCCTTCATCACATGATAGATGTTACCCATTTGTGTTGGCATTTGAAGAATAGCATATTATATTTGCTGAATGGTACTACCTAAGAGAAAATGTGGTTCATGAGGTGGGTTTTGAAAGATTTATTTTTAGTCAAAGTGTGCAAATAGCCTCCACAGTTCTTCAGTTAAAGATAACTGAACAAGAATCTTTTTGAAGCATATTTAAATCAGATTAATTCCTAATTAATTAAGCAATAAAATCATACAAATTAAATATAAAACAATCATAGGAGAAGCACAAATTTTAACACGGGAAGCTCAAACTCGAGAAAAACTATGACACAACGCATTCACTAATATCCAAAATACACCTCCCCACTCGACACTTGAGCAATTCTTTAGTTCTGATCTTCTCCGTGATTGTCCAATCTCACATGTACCCCTAATATTTGTTCGAATGTTGAGCCTCACATATGAGTATGCAAGGTAGTGTTTCTGTAATTTTTAATTTTAGCATAGTTGAGTCTTGAGCATGTTATGTGTAGTGAAGCTTTGATATGGTGGAATCCATGTAGAAATTTAATGTATAAAGAGAAATAGAGAGAATTAATTATGTATAGAGAAATAGAGAGAATTGTATTATTGATTGATATATATTGATATTGTATATTACAAATGGTGAGTGGCTCATTATATAGGAGAGGGTGAGTGTAGTAGGTGAGGAGTAGGTGGTGGTAGGTGATGGTAAATTGGTGGTAGGTGATGGTAAATTCTAACAATCAAGTTATGCGGTGATTAGACATACAAACTCTACTCTTTGTGAAGGTAAAAATCATGCATTGCATTAGCATCATATAAAGAGTTTTATCTACGATAGTCTGTTTAAACTTGTATTATTGAGTTTATGACCTTCAATAATTTAGTTTTGTACATGTTTTGTCACTGTTGGACTGCCTAAACAACATTACTGTGGTTCTACTTGTGGCCTTTTACTAGTTCTTTTCATTAACAAACTTCAATGTAGTTTATAATCTGGATTACATCTTTATAATTGTTTGTTGCATTCCATTTGATGTATTTTAACTGCTTAGCATATTGGTTGAAGTTTTTTTTACCTGAGTTGTTGCACCTGTGGCCTCTTGAACAGGCAGAGCTACTACAATGGCTGGAGAAGCTGGCAAAACTAGTTCTGAACCATCTGCTGTTACACCTCAAGATGAACAACTTATTAGTACACAAGAAATGGAGCGTCGGATTAAGCTACTTCAAGAAGATGGGTAAATTGACTGTCACATACCCTGAGAAAAATACTTTGATCAGATGCAATTTTCCACGCAAGCCCATATATTATTTATATATATGAAATGCCATCTAACCTTTCAGAGTTTTGGTTCTCACTTTCCCCCTGGTTCTTTTCCCCAGATTTGTTAATGCTTAACTTATGAAGAGGCAGTAACTTGAATTATATGTGTTGCTGGGCCCAAATAGTTGAAAGAATGCACTTCGAATGATAGCCATTTTAGTTAATATATATATATATATATATATATTTGTGTGTGTATCCTTTCTTTTGTGTGTGAAAGTCATTATCAGTTGCATATATTAATTTTAATTAGTTAATTTATTAAATTTGTTTTCTACTGTGAGTGTTATTGGTGATTTATATTGAAGTTGTACTGGTTGGTTTTGGATGTTTGATTTTGGGACACTTGGATAGCACTTAAAAAATAGTGCAGCATTAAAAAACTATTATGACAAATGGAAGTTATTGCGAATGTTCATGGCATGGAAAAAATCATTTGGCACCTTACTGGACATACTACAGGATGTATTAGCTTCTAAATTCTTAGGTAAAGGTTTATACTTGTTTCAAGAACATAGTATTCTGGTATAATGGTTTCTAACTTTCTAAATGTAGTATTTAACTTTACTAGTTATAAATTTCCTTTAAAGATGATATCACTGACATGTATCCTTCACAGGGAGTTGCAGAAACTCCATAAGCAATTTGTGATAGGAGGTATTTTGACAGAAGCCGAGTTTTGGGCAACGAGGAAGGTTAGTTATTATAAAGACTCTATCCAAATATGTATATGTATATATATTTTCTATGAGCTTGGATTTTCATTTGAATCGTTTGAGCTTTCTAAGTTCTCCATATTTGCTCCAATAGAGCACCAAAGTGATTATGAGTGCATGATAGAAAATTTTCCATTTACAAATTAAGTGCAGAAGTTGCTGGATAGGAACACCAGCAGCGTGATAAAACAACGGGCAGGGTTCAAAAGTGCCATGCTTGCAGATGTCAAACCAGCAGCTGATGGTCGGGTACAACATAGATCTCTCTCTCCCTCTGTGTCTGCATGCGCACATCTGCTTAAGCACACTCTCACGTCTTATGTGCTTGCTCCTTGTGTGCACAGTGTGCAAAGTTATGCTTGTGTGCATTTGTATCTTTATTAGTGTTAAACGCATATACTGATCAACCCTATTTGAAAATCCTGTAACTCCAAGGTTAACAGATTTTACTTTTTCAAACATGTGCTATGAGTTCTTGAATTTGTTTGTTTCTTGCAAAATTACATGGGTTAAGCTTTTTACTAGTAAGATTTTACTATTTTTTGTACCTTATCATTGCAATGCTCTCACGTGGAAACTTTATTTATTTCTTTTGCAGTCGAATCGAGTTACATTTAACTTGTCACCAGAGATTATTCATCAGGCATGATCTATTCCTTTAACTTGTTATTACCTTATTCCTTTCATCTTACTTGCCCTTTTATTTCTTTGATTGACCAGTATTATTCTCTTCTGTCGCTGGTTAAATGGCGTAGTTGCTGGATGTTAAAATTGATGTATAAAGAGAAATAGAGAATTGTATTATTGATTGATATTTGTAATTGTTGATCTATTGAATGTTACAATGATTCCTATATATAGAAGAGTAGGTGGTAGTAGGTGGTAGATGGAGTAGGTAAAGTGGAGGTGGTAGGTGGAGTAGGTGAAGTGGAGGTGGTAGTGGTGTAGTGGGTTAGGTTTAGTGGAGTAGGTGAGGTGGTAGTGGTGTAGTGGGTTAGGTTTAGTGGAGTAGGTGAGGTGGTAGTGGTGTAGTGGGTTAGGTTTAGTGGAGTAGGTGAGGTGGTAGTGGTGTAGTGGGTTAGGTTTAGTGGAGTAGGTGAGGTGGTAGTGGTGTAGTGGGTTAGGTTTAGTGGAGTAGGTGAGGTGGTAGTGGTGTAGTGGGTTAGGTTTAGTTCCCCGTAAGGTAATGGTGATGTTGGACTTGTATATCATCGTTCAGGAATTTCTTATTATCAATGACCACTTTCCTTAATTTGTCTCCTAATTAAATCAACTTGTATAATTGAATTTTTGTTTTTGGTTTTTGTGTCCCAGATGACCGAAAAGGACTTCTGGAACAAATATTGCAGAGCAGAATACCTCCATAGTACAAAAAATCCTGTTGCTGCTGCAGCAGAGGCTGCAGAAGATGAGGAACTTGCTGTTTTCTTGAAGAATGATGATGTATGGGCAAGTGAAGCTCGGCGCAAGGTGCTCTCCTTTTTGGAAATTGGAATTTCTTTCGTTTGAAGTCAACATTTTTATTTCGCAACGATTATATCTTTGCTGCATATTTCTCCTCTGGTTACTCAATTTTGTTTTTTTGTTTTTTTTGTCCCCACATAATAAATTAGCTTTCTTTATGTGGCATCTCGGTTTGCAGATTAGACGGGTTGATCCAACTTTAGACATGGAAGCTGATGAAGGGGATGATTACATTCATCTTCCGGTACTTTCGGTGACACCTGTGTTTTACTATCTTATTGCTAGCTAAGTCCTGGTGTATAACTCTGCAAGTTGAGGGTGCTATTTTCACCTTTTCTCAATACAGCATTGTTTTGAATTTATGAATTGACAGTTTCCATATCATGTACATTTTCTCTTTATTCATTTTTTTGCTGATGATAAATGTCAAAATCTGGGCTTTTGCATCAGCCAATCCGAGTCTTGACGCTTATCCGGCAATCTTGCCTCTCTTTCCCTTCTTTTTGCATCGATTCCTGTAATTTCTAACTGTATCTGGGAAGCAAACAATATAGTCCTCTTGTTGCTTGTTGCTGGATATCCAGTAATGTAGAGAAGATTCTGTTGGTTTATGAGAACTATTTATTGGAATCTTTTGTGATTCTTCATCTACATTTTCACATGTAACTTGTTCTGTGTTCTTTTAACCTTTTTTGTTTAAACTTGCACAAATTTGCGTATGATCATATTGTCTTGCATGTAGGATCATGGGCTTTCTCGCGATGACAGCAAGGATGCTATTGACTCACCATATGAAGAATACAGAAGGTCTCTTTCACAAGTCCTTAATCGGCATGGTGCAGTTGTTCTTGAAGGAAGATCCATAGGTAAGATTTCCCATTAGAGTATCTTCTATTCTTGGAAAATGTTGCCAGAAAAGTGTTGTGAAAATATGCTAATTTAACAACCAGCCGTTAGCTTTTGTAGTTTTTTTGCCACCATTAGAAGGGGTCCCAGCCTGGATGTGGATGTGCATTTTGTTCAAAAACTAGATAAGAAAACAAATATTTAAGTTCAGAAAGAAAGGAAAAGTAAACAGAGAAAGAAAGAAAAAAACAACAAGAAAGTAAAATTTTCAATGCAAGGAACATGGTTTAGTTAAAAACATGGTAGTTTCAGAAAGCCAACTATTAGACATCAATCAACATTTACCTTCAAAAAAAGTTTTACGAACCAGATTTCCCTTCATGTGGCTTTCAGAATTCCAGCGATTGAAATGCCAGGCAAGTTATTTTCCCATTAGGTCCTTGAATAATATAAGGGATGACCACCTTTATGAACCATTTAAAGTGAGTTTATTATGAAATCAACTAATGGGTTTAGTTGAAACTATGATTCTGTCCTTTACTCTACAGCATGGCCTGTTGTAGCACTGGGACATTCCCTGGAATGGACTGGTTGTTTTTCAGTCATAATCTGCCGCTACAACATTGAACCAAGCATCATATTTTTGCTACTCTCTCTTGCTGTTGAGAGAGAAAGAAAGTGGTTTATTTTCTCTTCCATGATTGACATTGTAGGCTGTGGGTTCTTGTACCACGCACGGCACTTGGCGTCCATCGCCATGACACCCCCGCATGGCAGACCTTCAAGGCTCCATGATCAATTGGGATTATATGCGTAGCCTAAGCTGGGGCATGCACGCCACCAAGTATGGAGAGCTCCCTTGGCAGCCTAAGGTTGAGCCCTTGGCTCACCTACATGCTCACTTGGGCCCTTGGCTCTCATATGCTCACTTGGCGGCCTAAGGTTGAGCCCTTGGCTCACCTACGTGCTTGCTTGGGCCCCTGGCTCGCATATGCTCACTTGGAGGCCTAAGGCTGGGCCCTTGGCTCGCCTTTATGCTCGTTTATTTTACTTAACCACTTGGCTGCCTAGGCTGGGAGCTAGGCGTAGGCACCCCACTGGGGATCATTGGAGGATTGTGGTTGGAGTTTAAGACCATAGGATCGTCAAGGTCTTGGCTGTCTTTTTGCCAAGATCACTCCACCTTGACCTAGTTTGGAGAGAGGCGGTGTTGACCTTACACACACATTTGAATGCATGATGTGTTGCCCAAAGATATCATACTTGCCAGCATGAATCACAGACGACAGTATGGCTCATGTCAGCTCCTTGTTGAGTTGAGAAGAGCTTGCCACCTGTCCAATAGTTTGCTTGGGCTCCAAAGGACTCCAATACTACGGCCCTATGGGAGTCTTTGTAACGTATCATGTATACAGCAGCCAACATTAACACACAACAATACATCTATCACAACACATAAAATCGAAGTGCTCAAGGTCTCTCACTATCACCCTCTCTATCTTTAAGCCTGCCTTGGTCTTCTCCTCCACCTCCGGTGACCTCAAGCCATTGAAGTGCTTGCCATCTTTGCAGAGGTCCACAACGACCACCTCTAACCTCTAATTTTCTAAGCAAGGAGCAAATTCATAAAGAAAAAGTTACTTTCTTAGCTGATGTTGACTGGGCTTCAGCAATTGGTCACTCCCAAGTATAAGATTCCAATGTTTAGTTTATTTGATAAAAAAGTTTCTCTGTGCTCTTCTTCTTCTTTTTTTTCGAGGCATGATTTTTTCTCTTTCTTTATCTGATAGAATAGAACATATTATAGCAATCAAATGTGAATAAGTTGGTGTAATTCAGAGAACATATTGATTTCTTTAAGAAACTTCTCTGACATTTTAATTGCAAATGGATGCAGTTCATTGATCTTGCTGAGACCTGACTTCATAAAATTTTTTCCTAAGTTCTGTTTTATCAATTTGAATACAGATGTGGAGTTGGGAGACACGAGGTCTGTAGCTGAAGCTCTTGCCAGATCAAAACAGGGTTAGCATAGTTCACTTTTCTTTGTGCAATTCAGTTTGATATAGTGCTTTGTCTTCCCCCCCAACTCTTTCTTCTTTTATTCTTTCTGTTTGAACACTAAATTGTTGAGTTTCTATGCAGTTGAGTTAGCTAATGAAGCATCTGATGGGAATGCAAACCAGGAACGCTTAGATAGGATTTCTCAGTTGGCTGAGATTGAGGATCTTCAGCCACCTCGTGACCCTCCATTGGCACCACTTTTCATTAAGGTATTCCTTTCTTCTTAAAAAAAATGACACATGTTAGTTTTGATTGCAAATAGGTATTTTATGATTTGTTTCTTGGATCAGGATCCTCGAGACTATTTTGATTCTCAGCAAGCTAATGCACTTAAAACTTTGGGAGATACACTAGTTGAAACAAGACAAATGAAATGCAACCTGAGTACCAGTGAAGCTTATGGTTCTCTAAGGGAGTGTATATCTGAGATCAAAATTGCCGGATTAAGTGATCCCATAGTTAAGCCTGAAATTGCTTTCAAGGTAATTGAAACTCTTGTTGCAAATCATCCTCATGATCTGATCTGCCATAGAGAGAGGTCACTGACATATATGGTCATAACTGCTCAATATTATCATGTAGGTTTTTAACGGATTGACCCAGAATATTTCAAGCACCAAGTATCATCTTGGGAAGAATCCGCAGGAGAGTGTTTTGGATAGGTTGCCAAACATCACTAAAGATGAACTCTTACATGTGAGTTGGTACCAATTTTTTTGTACACAATATTTCAACTTCCCAGTCTACCTATTGCTGTGGGTAATTGCATGTATCAAGTTTAGGAAGGAAAATAGGTTTTGTGTGGCTGAGATTTTAAAAACAGTTTTCTGTTCTCAGAGCTACAGAAAACAAAACTCAAAATTCATTTTGTTCACTGTTTTTACAAACTGTTTTCGGAGAAATAAGTTAAAAAATAACCAATTTCCAGAAAACACTAGAACATTGTTTTTTGTTCTCTTCTTCTTCTTCTTCTTCTTTTTTTTTTTTTTTTTTTTCAGTAAAGATAAACCGAAAACACCATGTTCTCAAAATTTCCTTATTTTTTCACAAAACATGTTATGGAGAACTGTTTTTTGAAAACTATGTCAAATGGGGATTTTGCATCAGAAAGCACAGGAAAACTTTGGCTGTGTTTGGTATAGCTTTTAAATTATAATTCCACCCCTACATTCCAATGTTATATTTGGTTTAAGTTTTTAAAAATTAATTCCAATGCCACATTTGAAAACACATTCCAATGCATGTTTGGCAGTGAGTTTTTGATTTTTGAATTTGCGCTTTAGGTCGTCTACCCGGACATATGTCCGGCCGGTTGATTGGAACAGTAACTTTTTTTTCTTTTTTTCTTTTGCAATTACAATTGTCAATCCCCACTTGTTATTTGGAAAAAAATTATATTTGTTTTTGATATTTTTTAAATGTATGAATTATTTTTTTTAGATCAAAATAACAAATTATTTATTTGAATTGAATTTTAAAAAGAGTTTGGTTATGAATTTTGAATAGAATTTTCAATAGAGTTTTGAGTTGTGTGTTTGGTTTATGAATTATGAGTTATAAATTTTTGAATTAAGTTTTGAAAACGCTTTTCAAAACTCATAACCAAACAACTTTTCTCATTTCATATGTCACTTCAAAAATTCAAAATTCAATTCAAAACTTTTTTCAAAACTCATAACCAAACAAATTTTCTCTTTCTAAATCATAATTCCAAAACTTACAAACTCAAAATACAACTCTATTCTCAAATCATAATTTCAAAACTCAAACTCAAAATACAACTCTATTCTCAAATCATAATTCTAAAATTCTACCAAACGTTACCTTTATCTTCTTGTTTTGGATTTTTAACATTCCTTTAAATTCTATTAAAAATAACTTTGCTTGTTTTCAGCATTGGACGTCCATTCAGGAATTACTTAAACATTTCTGGTCATCATATCCAATTACAACATCATATCTTTATGTTAAGGTAAATGCTGTAGTTCTTTATGCTTACTTAGGTTTATTTTTGCTGTATTACATCAAACTTAAAGTTGATTTCTTTAGCTGATCTTATATACTTCTTAAATTGTGGCAAGGTTACCAGAACTCCAGAAATTATTGTTTATATTTCAAACTAAGGTTTGACCATTGTCCTTCCAAAAAAAAAAATTTGACAAAATTTTTTATATTGTTCCCAATAAGATTTTATTTCCGAAAACTTGAAAAATGAAAACACTGAAGTTCAAAGCAATGCCCAACAGAAATATATTTTGCATTTCCGATTACTCCATCTTCCCCTCAAACCCCCAGGGGCCAGAGTAAGAAAGAAGAATATATGATAACAGTGAAAGATTAGATTCAGTTGCTGTGAATCATGTTCATGGAAGAAGCACTGTTGTTGTGAAGAAGTGCTTAATGCAGAAATTTCAAGAGGTTAATAACGGTTGCTCAATTATTAAGTATGCAAAAATATTTGTGATGGTTTGGGTACAAGTTCTTTTATAATCACATCATCTTTTAATTTTGTGGATTTAGTTTTATTTTATGCTTTGTTCATTTGGCCTTTATTTTGCAGGTAGGCAGATTGAAGGATGCTATGTCACAAATTTATCCAAAGTTACAGGTAATCTTCTTGCAAAAGTCATGTTCAGTATCTATGATCATTTTTTGCTTTTCACATGTAATTACTGTGGTTACTTAATTTATTGCTTGTAAATCAACAACAATCACTGATTCACTGGTATGCGAATAGAGGCACCGGAATCTCTCTTTGGAATTCACATTTGAAAGTGTTTTTTGGTCACCTAGTTAGCATGTCTAAATATTTTGCAACTGTTTGCTGCTACCACTGTTTCTAGAGTGCTTCTTTCTTGGTTCCTGTTTTCCCTTTCATATTTTGCAACTGTTTGCTGCTACCACTGTTTCTAGAGTGCTTCTTTCTTGGTTCCTGTTTTCCCTTTCATTTTTTCAGCTGTAATTTTGCCACTCACCTTAGTATTATCTAAAGCCTTAACATATTATCAAAAAAAAAAAAATTATCTAAGCTTCAACAAAAATGTAGAGTTCATTGATTTTCTGAGTTTTAATACATGTTTCTTATGGTGAATTGGTAGCATATTAACAACAGTTGTTAGTGTGGGAGTTACCATGATTAGAATTCATATGAAAGATGGATGAATTTATGAAAAGGAAAACAAATGACTTTTTATGTCAAAAATCTTGAGGGCTTTTCGCTGGAGCACATTACTGGTAGTGACATTTTGGTTATTTGAAATGTTTACATTAAATGACTTGGCTTTTGGATAATAAAAAAAAAAATATGATTTGGCTTTCACTGATGATGGGTATTCCATTACATGTGAAATGAAGTTCTGAAAAATTCCAGCTTTGATGATGCATGTTTGCTCATGAAACTGAATTGTATTGATTTATGAGCATTGATCAAAAGGATCGGGGAGTTTGCACTGCATTGCCTCTGCTGCTACTTGGGTGCAAGTTTCAAAATTTTTATTTCCTGTGTATGTTGTGTAGTTTGATTTTTTTTTCTTCTTTTTCTTGGTGATGTCCTTTTCCCATTTCAGGAGATTAAGGAATCCGTACAGTCAGATTTTCGGCATCAAGTTTCCCTTCTTGTTCAACCAATGCTTCAGGTGAAAAAAAGTGTACTTTTCTTATTCATTGAATTGCAAGGTTTTAGTATTATTGATGACCTGAACTTCCAAGATTATGAGGGATCATAATAATAGTTTCTGGTGGCACTGTAAGTAGGTTCATATGCTTATTCCTAGTTTGCCTGCTCAATTCAAAGCAGTTGAGACATCTCTAAATTCTTTTGGCCTTGAAAAATTATCATCACTTGAAGGTTGGTGCGAGTTGTTTTCTGCTTTTACTTGCTTTTGGTATGATAGAAAATGAAAGTCAACATAAAACGTTAAACAAGCCGCTGTTGAAAAGTGGAAAAGACATTTTCTGACTTCCAATGCCACCCCCACTACCACCCTGCCACCACCACCACTCCAACCTAGACGACCCAACCATTCCACCACCACCACCACCTCCATCACCCTCCCACTACCAACAACACCACCTTCACTAACACAGCCACTAACATATTAGTTTCAAGGTAGCAACCGAACTTGGGTTAGACGACAGAAAAAGTTGAGTTTTTTCTACTTCTATTGATGGCTGCAACTCATGGACAGAGACCATGTTTGGTGCAGGCTCTGGATGCGGCTTTTGCACATTATGATGCAGACTTGCAGAAGAGATCGGCAAAGGGCGGAGACAGGACCAATGGATACGTGTAGCGGAAATTAGCCTTTGTATCACCTGGCCTGTTTGATGTTGCAGCATTGAGGGTTGCCTCTATTACATGGTGATCATATACAACTGTATATCTAATGAAATTTTGGTCACAGCTTTTGTCGAAGAGAAAATGATTTGAAAGAAGTGTACACACCATTTATTGTTCAATTGGTGGCTAATAGTTTATATTGAACAATTTGGGTTACAAAATGCTATTGCATTAATATGAGAGGAAATTTTTGAACAATTACAATAAGTTGCAATGTTGATTTGGACTAATTTGAATTTTTGAGTTTAGCAACATATGGAAATTGACTGCTTTTCTTCTTTTTCTTTTGGTGATTTGCCCAACAACCAAAAATGATGTTAATAAATTGTAAAGACTTGAAATTCAAACCTTCCACCTTATAATCACATTGATTGTGACGGAGCATTTGATCCTTTCAGGTTAGTCAAGTATAATCTAGCAACATTTGTGCATACTTGGCTGAGATCCTTATTGTGCAAACACGAATATGTTTTATTTATTTTTATTTTATTTTGTTTTCTAGGATGGGATGAGGAACATTTGTGCATACTTGGCTGAGAACCTTATTGTGCAAACACGAATATGTTTTATTTGTTTTTGTTTTATTTTATTTTGTTTTCTAGGATAGGATGACAAGTATAAAACTACATTATGCAATTATAGGACTCAAGTTCAAGTTCAGACGTATCACAATTAGCGAGAGAATACTTCCGAGTTGTTTGGTGCAATTTATAAAGCTGCATTTAGTTTTTTATTTTGAAATTCTATGTTAGTGCAAAATCTGTTTACATCTTATAGCTTAAGGTTATGTTTGGCACGAAAGTTTGGATTGAGTTGGGAATATCTTAGTTATAAAAAAAATAAAAATTAAACTTTTTAACTTAATAAAACAAAATGTTATATTCAAATCATAATGATTTTATTTTTTCTCTCACATTGTTAAAAAGTTTATTCCAAACATAATTTCAAGATAAAAAAGTCCAAAAAAAATTAATTTGCATCTCAAATAAAGGCTAAGTAAGTTTAGAATGTTGCAACTTGCATCAAACACGCCATTCATCTATCATGTCAACTTTTTTTATCATGCAGCCAAACGTCAGTATTTGAAAACCATGTGCCAGTTCTGAAACTTTAAATTGCCTTTGAATTATAGATTTAGATTAGAATTTGATAAGGATATATATATATATATATATATATATAAAATAAGTGAAATATGAATGAAATATAATAAAATTTTATTAACACATCATTCACATTCTCTAGATTTTATTTATTTATTTAATTTATGATCTAAACTCTCTTATAATCTATATCAGGACAAATATCTTGTTTGATGCAATCCATTAGGATTACTTATTATTTTTTATTTTGAAAATGTATCATAATGCTTATGCATTTTCTATTGTAAGTTATGAGACAAATAGTTTAAACAATCCCAAATTGCATGTAATAACATCTTGCAATAATTAATTAAAACAAGGTATCTAGTCTCAATCCAAAGGGGTTGGTTGAGTAGTCAAAACTTGAGAGTACGAGGTGTGTTCCATTCAGAATCTTAGGTTTAAAACCTCTTAAATGTAAGTAATTTCTTAGAGTCAATTTATATGAGACTTTGTCTCAATTTTAATTGGAATCCCCGCTAATAAACGGTGTGATTAATCTCCGGATTAAGGGTAAATTATCAATAGTTTCTAATAGTTGGAATTAATTCTCTTCAAGTTTTATTGAAAATAAATCATAGTAAAATTATTTCTAAAAATAATCTTTTGTGTCCTTTTTTTGCATGTCGTTAAAAATTGATAATTAGTGATTTTTTTTTTTAGTTACGATTTTTATAAATTATTGTTAAAACTTAGAATTAGGCACTATTTGACATTCACCATAAATTGTTGCTAAAACTTATATTTTTTATATTTTCATAAAAAGTCAAAAAATATAATTATTTAGATCATCACAAAAACTCACTTAATGATTTTTTATACTGCCACTGAAAGTTGAAAATTAATAATTTTTATAATGATTTTTTTAAACTATTGCTAAAAATTATAATTTGTGACAATTTTTAAAGAAAAATGCTATGTGTTCCAAATGTTCTACCAAATGTCTCATATGACACCACGTGGATCTCACACCTATATAAGATATTTGATAAAATATTTGTTAAACATTTGCAATCTCTAACAAAACTCATTTTTAAACTGTCACTAAAAATTAACTATTAATAACTTTTTTTAATAATGTTTGATACAAAATTTCATTAATTATTATAAGATTTATTGGATAATAGATTCACATATTAAAATCTATATGAAAATCTTTCATGATTAATCGTTCAATGAACCGATTGCGAAGTTAAAAAAATAAAAAAATAAAAAAGGTTCATGGTCTCTCTTCAATTATCCAATCAGCAATGCTAGGTAGCTCAAAATTTTGTGGCTCAAATGGCTCAAATCCCTCAAAACAGCGTCGTTTTGAGGGATTTGAGCTATCGTTTTGAGGGATTTGAGCCGTTTGAGTCACAAAATTTTGAACTACCAAACATTTTCCTTATCCAATATTCCCAATTTACACATATTCATTCTTGGGTTGCATAAAAAAAAGTTGTTAGCTTAATGAGAATGGTTATTGGGTGTTTTTGGAAATGTAATTGGCAGAGAAGGTAAGACTAATTATTAAGTGATCGAGGAACTTAAAAAATCATAATGTATGATAATTAATCTTAAAATATAAACATGTGACATTTCAAAAATATTAAATAATTTTTCCTTAATTACACACACCTGCCCACACTCCAAAGGAATCTAATTTAATTTGTCAATTATCAGTGACCTAATCACTTTAATCTTTTGGAACCCAACAAAAAAGACACTTTCAAAAACATACATACCTTTACCACCTAAACCAAACGAAACGATCCCAATTAACCGAACACAAAGAACAGACCATCAACCGACACATACACCAAGAAATCTTCTACTATAACAAAACTCTTTTTTTTTTTTTTTTTGAATAAAAATAGATTAATAATTTATCCACATAAATATTTTCGTCTAAATACAAATAATTAAGATGATTCATTCACATAATTTTCTCTATTCAAATAAGATTCCTTTCGACGGAGAAATTTATGTGGATAAAACGGTGCTGCAAAAAAAATAAAGACAATATATAAAAAGTGCACTGAAATCAACAAATTTTCACATTTTGTTCACATCTACAATTACAAATAAAATATTTCAGGTCTAATCTAATTTTTTGGTGATCAAAACAGTGCTGAAAATAAAGAGCAAACCACACAACCCAATTTCCAAGATCTAGAATCGCTTTTTTTATTTTTTTATTTTTTTAAAATTTCAGACATAAGATCCAGAATATTTGTAAAAAATCAAAAAAGAGAAGAAGAAAGAAATAAACCCTAGTAAGGAGGAGGGGTACCCAAGAAGGGCCTTCCAGAACAAGAGGTACCATTGATGGAATCGCAATCATGCAATGTGTCCTTCAATTTGTGAAACCCATGCTTGAATACCCCAAACCCAAACAGCATTCCTATGCAGATCACCACCAGTATCACGCAGGTGCACAGCATACACATCCTTGTCCCGCAACACATTCTTCTTCCTCCTCCTCTCTCTCTCTCTCTATATATATATATATATGTATTGATTCAGATCTGGGAATTGTATCGAGATTTTTCTGGGTTGGGGAGAGAGGAGAGAGGGTATTATGTGATGGGTTGGTTGAGGATAGCGTCAAGTGTACTGAGGAATTTGGAGAGAAGTTGTAGGGTTGAAATTGTATCTGTTCATCAATTGATGGAGAGAGAGAGAGAGAGAGTAGAGAGAGAGAGCAGATTTTAGTGAAGCGGTTACTCTACGCTTTGTTGGGTGCAACGGAAAGTAGGCTAGAATCAACGTCTCTGCTAAAGGAGTTTTATTGTTTTCAAATCATGCCGACGTGCCACATTATCATAAGTAAAAGGGATTGATTTACCTCCCTGATCGGACTGGATGGTGTGGTTGATTGGAGGATATACTACACCATCGTTTGGGAACTAAGATTTGAGATTTTTTTTTTTTTTTTTTTTTTTTTTTTTTTTTTTTTTTTTTTGACTATTTTAGTTAAAAAAATAAAATAGGTTATTTTAGTCGCAATAAAAAAAAATATCACATTTAATTCATAATTATTATATTTTTTTCTTACAAAAAAAGTTAAAAAAATCAAAAAGTCAAAAAGTCCTTTCCAAATCAAGTTTTTTAGCCCAGGCTAAAATAACCAAAAAAGTTAAAAAGTCAAAAAGCTAACCTACTTTCCAAACCAAGCCTAGATTTGTAAAGGTTTATTATGTATTTTATTTTGATAATTTAAATAATTCAAAATGTAAAATTTGTTGAGTACTATATGTCTGTATAAAATTATATTGATCGGATATCGATAGCTATTTAAAAGTCAAAAAGTCCTTCTCAAATCAAGTTTTTTAGCCTAGGCTAAAATAACCAAAAAAGTCAAAAAGTCAAAAAGCTAACCTACTTTCCAAACCAAGCCTAGATTTGTAAAGGTTTATTATGTATTTTATTTTGATAATTTAAATAATTCAAAATGTAAAATTTGTTGAGTACTATATGTCTGTATAAAATTATATTGATCGGATATCGATAGCTATTTTATCATATTAGATTTCTATCAACTATTATTTTTTCACTGTCTATTTTTTTAATACAAAATTAATTTGATCACGTAATTATTAATATTCGATCAACGTGATTTTTTATAAGTATACAGTACTCAACAAGTTCTACACATTGACGGTTGATATTATCAAAATAGGACCATTAGTGGGCCTCTAAGGATCCAACAATACTCTCCAGTTCGATCACGAATTGGAAGAAAAAAAATATTGAGATTGAAATTAATTATTTTAATTTTTTATGAAAATACATCTAAAAATATATAAAAAATAATATGATAATTTATAATAATTTTTTAATTAAAACTCCTATCCCTCAAACGGTATATGAGTAAAACGATAATATCAATTTTATCTTGTATTATTGACGAATCTTATCCTTAATTAATCCAAAATTTTCATTTATCTTTTGTGGTTGTTTGTGTTTTGAGACAGCAACTCTATCCTAAATCTTCTTTTTTATTTTGTTGTCTAAAAAAAATTAAAAACTATTGAGATCGTTGAAAATCTTAAGACCATTTTCAACCTAAATTCAAATTTTTCATCAAATTTAAATTTGATAAAATTTAGTAAAAATAGTATGTCAACCTTTTCATCAAATTGGTATAAAATGAAGGAAGTCTTACTTTTTTTTATCAAATTAAGAGAACGTTTAATTTTTCATCAAATCTCGTAGGTGACCATTGGTAAAAGACCGGATGGATGACCGGTCGGTCAACCGGGTAGACAACCGGCCAGACAACCTGGTGGATGATTGGATTGGAAAAAATTTGAAAAAAATTTACACTAGGCCGAACGATTGCCCGAGCATCCTCCTGGTCGTCTTTCCTGTCAACTGGTTGTTTGAAAAAATAAAAAATTTAGCGTTAGAATGCTTGATATCAAATGAAGCTTTCAATCCAAATCTTTACTCAAATTTGATAATAATAATAAAAAAAGAAAAAAGAAAAAGAGTAAGCATTGGAAATGCTCTAAGATGTAATAATTTCATAACATGAAAGATATGGGTGTTTTGAAATAAATTTCATTCCTTTTCGATAATCCTAGAGAGCTAGTTGTGTGCCTTAAGTAATTGGTGTTGTTCATTACGGTCCCATGCTAGATGATTTGAGTTATTTATTTTGTATAATCTTTCAATTAGATTCATGTAAAATCAAGTTCATCAAATATTATTAATCATATAATCAGATTACATTTTTGTTAACAAAAATGAAAGGTACATATGATTTTATGAACAAATATGATCTGATAATGATATGTTATCGATATCAAATCAAACTTAATTTTTATGACAATGCTACCAAACAAATTGATTGTTGTGTGAGTGAATTTCTGACCACACTATCAAACTCAGTATTCAGCTGGAGAGCACTAGCAGAATAGATGGCACCTGACTGACCTGCAACAGAAAGAGAAGATTCCGGAGGTAGTTCGTCCACCCGGGGGCACTCCGACGATCAAGTCGGTATACCTCTCGAAGATAATCAATAGTGCTAATCTCACTGTTCAGAATATAAATTGTGCACCTTAGACCCATCGAGGGTGCCTCTCTTTTATAGTTAATTCAATCCTAGTCTTCATAGAAGCCTAGCTTTAATGAACTTCTGCTCAGTGCTTATCCTGGACTCTCCAAGAGATAACGATAAACTCCCTAACAGTGTTATCCTTATCCATGCTGAAGTCCTTACTCATTCTAGGACTCTTGTGCCTTATCCGCTTATCCTGGATTCCGATATCTTCGAAGGTAGCCTCGGCCTAGCCGAGATAACCTCGGCATCATGACCAGGACACGTGGCACCTCGGCTGACACGTCGGTGTCACCTTGGCCACGTGTTGATACTCAGAAAATATATCCCCACAACTACCCCCTAGGTTCTATTACCTCGGCAATCTGAGGTGATGGAACCTATACCAGAACTTCCTTCCAGTACGTCGACTTAAAATTTCTTTAGCCGAGATCATCATATAGGCCGACATGTCTTTTTTAAAGAACATGAATTTGAAGAGCTCCTTCACGCGTATGAGCTGTCGTGCACAATAACTCGACCGTTTTAGCCACGCGTCTTCCCCTTACTGGATCGTTCTTGATACGCATTTGTAAATCATCTCACGCCTGCGTGCGCCGTCTGACGCATACGTTGTTTTAGGCACATTGGCCCTGTTTGGTACAGCTTTTTTTTAGCTTATTTCAGCTTTTAGCTTAATTTAAGCTATTTTGATGTGTTTGGTTTAGCTTAACAATGCAGCTTATAGCTTTTTGTAAGTCAGAAATCAACTTATTTTTTGAGTGGGGCAGGAGAAGCTTAATTTATAAGTAAAAAATCAGCTTATGTTCATAGTTATAAGGTATAAGCTGTTAAGGCATAAGCTATAAGCACTTTCCCACAGCTCTACCAAACAAGGCCATTAATTACCTTTTTTTCGCCATTTCGAGTTTTGACAAAACTTCTTTCTCCTTTCGTCTCTTCACTTTTCATCGTCTTTGTTCAAACTCTTTCTCTATCTTACTTTCTCTAATCCTCCATTGTTCCAAGCTCTGAAGCTCTGCTGCCATCACTGTTTCATCTCTTCCGGCGAGGCTCTTTTTCTGCTGTCGCTGTTCGTCTGACTTCGGCAATCTCAACACCGGCTTCCCCTCTTCAGTGAGTTACTGTTTCCTCCCGATTTAACTTCTCGTTTCAGTTTTTGATGGTATCTTGAATCTCTGTCATTTTTGCGAACTTGCTTATGACCTTGATTAGTTTAATCTGTTCATGTATCTGAGTATGGTTACCCCGCAATTCTGTTTTTGCCCAATCTTTTCTTGACTATTCACAACCTGCACACACATTTGTTCATTTTTGCCATTGTTCTTGGCCTTATACCCTTACACACACTCTGTCACAATGTTCTTGGTAGTTTATCATTGTTTTTGATTCTGAAACACGTTCTTGTTTTCTATTTTCTGTGTCTTTTCCAGATTCCTGCCTTTAATCTTTGTTCCCGTACATCTAGGTTTGGGATTTGTTTGTAGAACCCACAAATTCTTAGGAAAAACTTTCACTTAAGCCGATATTATGGATATGTGGAGGCATAGGGTAGACACCCCGACCAAGCTAGAATACTTTAGGCGAGAGTTTTCCATCCCTGCCAATGTAAATCTGAGGTTGACTGGGGAGGATGACTCTATCATGCCCACAGTTGATTCTATGCCCCTCCCAGTTGTAGCTTTCATCGAGTGCGGACTTCGGCTCCCACTCGATATCCTTTTTCGTGAGATAATCCATTATTATAAGTTGAACCCAACGCAGCTTGCCATCAATTCCTTCCGAGTCATAAATGGTATAATTGTCTTAGCCAAACAAGAAAATGCTAGGGTTACCTTAGCCGACATCTAATATTGTTATACCATGTGTGGCCTCAAAAAATATACAGGCTATGTTTACTACCTCAAACCGAGGTCCACGGAGTACAAAATTATTGCCGACCTCCCAGACTCCAATAAGGGAGCTGGGGATGATTACTTGATTACCTCGGGAAACTGGGAGTTCGCTCCAGACGAGGACCTCTACCTCTTCCCTCTTCCTCGAACAGCTTTTGTAGAGGGTAATGGTAAGAGCCCTGTGCTCATACTTACTTGTTTTTAAAGTCTTCAATACTTTGTTTATTCTAATGTCTGTTTTTTCTTGCAGCTCTTCCAAAACCAGAAAAAGGCTTCCGAAAGTCTTTTTTCCCCAGCAAAGGTCTGAAGAAACTACTGGACCTTCCAGTTCCCAAGCGCAAAGCTCCCCTGCTACTCAACTTTATTCCTACGTACAAGTCAGCTCTTCCTGACGTCCCCAATAAGAAGAAGAAGAAGACGAAGAAGAGTTTGTCTCCTCCTTCCGCCACAATTCCTCAAGCTGCCTCCACATCTCGGCCAGATCGGGGATTGACTTCTAATCCAGCAGAGCAGTCGTCAACTTCGGCTCCTTATTTGATCCCAATATCCCAACGCCAACGCCAACGCCAAAGCCGGCAACGAACTATTTTTACTGCCGAGATGGGCCGCCAGAAGGTAGTTGCTAAAGATCTTTTGGCCAATATTCCTGACGAATGTGGTGATCAACCAGAACAAACCCAGCCTCAACCAAAGCCAAAAAAACGCCTGAAGAAGGCTCAGCCAAAGGCAACGGTGACTCAGATTGACACTAAGGACACCTTGCCAATCTCCAAATTGGCTGAGATTGATAAGTCCAATTCTGCCGCTAAAAAGAGGCCTGCCGAGACCCAACCATCCGAGTCTGCTAGGTCAAAGAGACCGAGGTCATCCTCTGTAACGACCTTGGGATCT